CAGACAACCTCTCGTCAATATGCGTTTTTCGCATTGCATTGCTGCAAAAAACGCATAAAAAGGACTAGATGTAGCTGGGTGTAAAGTATCATGGTAACACTTTAAACATGGAATTTCACACTGATTTTCCAGGCACACTAGATTTATATTGTCTACACTAATTTAAGCATGATTTTGTGAACCAGTGCAGTTCAGCAACAAGAAGTCGACGCCTTTGCGTTTCAGTCGCCGTGATCGATGGTAGTTACTCGTAAAAAGTCTAATCCAGTGAGCCTATAAAATGTGTTATTACCTGTGGCCTGAGTGGCATACGCCCTTCTTGTCGCTCGTAATCAGCAATGTTTTTGCAGCGTATTTCGACAAAAAACGGAGGATCATATTCCTCGGTTGGAGTATTCATATGTACAGTACTGCGTTCACTTTCACATAATGGTTCGTTTCGCTCCCGTTTCGATTTGAGATCCTGAAAATCAGAACTGCATTTCTGTGTTATTGGATTGTTTCAAATAAGCAAGGAAAAGCGATATGCATGTTATTGGCAAGTAGTCATTAAATATTCAGATGGAAAGCATAAAAGTAACAAGTCATATATTTGATAGGTGTGTCGGAAAGCAGTTTGTGTTTCATCCCTTAGCTGTAGACATAGTCAGAGATCTGTTTGCAGGCAAGAGCGAAAGTCATCAGTGTAACATTCTTCTTACTAAATGCTGTTTGTACACATGACTGACTTGCAAGACTAAGATAAGAGTGGAGTAGGTTTCGACGCTGGGTGTATTGACCAGTCATATTCAACTCACATTTGAAACAAATTTTCTCATACTGTTCCATCCACATATAACACTTTAAGACGTTGTAGAATGCTCTGGTCACTTCGCTGAACAGTGAGCACAGCGAATTTTTTTGAAAAAAAAAAAAAAAACTATAAGATATGCTTTGCTGCTTCTGCAAAAATTTTGTGCGGAAAGAATTCAAGTTACTCAAGTGGAAAATTGATGTTTTCTTCTGGTTCTCTGTGTTATTTATTAAGTAGACTGTAAGGGCAGGCTAAGTTAAGTCAACGAGTCAACTTGTCGATCTTCTTATTCTGTTGTCCCAAGTTTTCCTCTGATGAGCCAGTTCTTTGGAATACACAAAACAACTAACTTACTATCGAGTACTTCTCAGGTACTCAAGTGTATTTTATGGCTGCGCACTTTATTACGCAAGAGATTACCGAATTTCAAAAATATGGC